TTTCTCCGAAATTAGTACGTGTTTTAAACTTAGGCAAAAAATTCGTACTTATTTTATGGCTAGAATAGTTTTGTAAAAACAAAACTGCTATCTGTGGTTTAATCAGAAATATAGCAACTTCAAAGTGTACGCTCTAGAGTACACGCCGTACAAATAAACTCTGGGAATACGAGAGTCGAATTGAACACCGACTGCGGAATTGAATCATTCACCTCGTATAACAACGAGGCCGGTTGCGCAAACGATGTACATACATACATTCGCATTTAATCTAGTCCCGACAGATTGATATCAACTTGTTCGAAAACGTAATAGAATAGCCATCACTGCGTGCTCTTTTAATAAGCAATTATTCTCATTTTGATTTCGTGGAAGTGCTTTTCAACAACGCACGTTTGCAAACGTCAGTTTGAAACGATTTAATATAATCCTTTTTTCTTTGTTCTTTAGTGTTGTTGTGTCGTTTATGTTTATATTATACGTTTTGTCGTTGTCGCAAGAAATGTGAAAGTAGGTGGAGATGGTACACGTCTCGTAACGCAATCAAGGAACATGCAAAAACGGGGTTGCTTCGTTTGGAAACGTCTGTGTTATAATTTGGACGGTCGTTACCGTTAAGTTCGGGTGCGCGTCTCGAATGCCGAAACTCGGCGCCACGTTTTGGTACACATTTCGAGTACGTCTAATGGCCTTCTCCTCGGATAATGGCTTCTATTCCACGACTTGAAGAAACTGTTATTTGCATAATAAACATTTTCCTTTCGAAATCAAAATACCGCTTTTAATTTATAAAAAATTATAAAAAATGTTGTCTTAATTTAAAAATAATAATTTTATTCTTTAATTCAAAAGTATTCGTCCTTGAAAGGTTTGGGATAGAAGGAATCCTTTTCAAGAAATCCTCCGGAACGATGAAAGGGGGCTGTTTACCGTCGTGGTCCAGGTGGGGCTACTTTCGTCGGTTAAAGGGTGGTCTCGTAGGGGACTGAGATGAGGGGCTGGGTAGGGCTCGCCGTCCGGTTGAGAATAGACGGCGGTGGTAAGAGCTCCGTTGAAAACTTAATTGAATTTTCGTTTAACCGCTTTGCGGCCGCTTCCGAAGTTCGAGTCCCGAGGCAGCCGATAATTCAAGACTCGCGCGGCGGACAGGAAAAAGACGAAAAGAAAAGATATCGGGTCGCGACCGAACTGTTTAATTACAGCCGGTAATGAGTTCGTCTTTTTCTACCCTCCCATTAATTATTTCAACAGGTTATTAACTGGTCTGCAGGGTTTCAATTCAATTTGTCCCGCGAAAGAGAAAACCATAAGAAACTATCACTCGGAAAGGATGGATTTAATGGATCGTTTATATCGAAAAGTATAACTTTCTGTAAATGACAAGGAAAAAGATTTTAAAAGAAACGAAAATTTTACTCCTTACAATGTAAAGTTAAGATGGTTATTGTTGCAATAACGGTTTGTGATCCGTAGGATTGGCAGTAGAACGAACTGAATGGAGGCGTGAAAAAGGGGGCGGTCATTAACGGACGGAAGTAAGCATTGTTAGCCTTCACTGCTTTGTTGTTAATTTCAAACCGCCCAGTCGTTCTCAGGTTGTATCGATTTTATGTTTTCGAGTCTCTCAACGTTTACTTCCGATCGAATTTATTTCTTATTTGTCTTTTTAATATCGAAATAATCACCATTTAGTTGGTCAAACTCATCTTCCTTTTTACATTGCGACATTTTTGATAATTTCACATTTTTATTAGTTGAGCGATTTGTGTTTTGTTCTTTTTTGTGAATAAGTAAGTAGTCTGTTAATTAATTATCGTACCCGACGTCATCATTGCAAGTATGCAACCAATATCACAGTATTGGTATTGCAATACGTAATTGCTTATTGCAATATTGCAAGTATGCAACCAATATCACAGTATTGGTATTGCAATACGTAATTGCTTATTGCAATCATATATATACTATCTCCTATATCGCTGACTAAGGCAGCAAAAGAGTGTAAACACTAGAGTGCAGATATATATATATCTGTCTCTGTCGTGCCCCCGTCTACTCATGAGACATGGGTGAACACGTGGTGAGTACGCTTTTATCTTATTGGACGGTGAATTAAAAATTAATAGCAGCTGATGACCTTGATGTTTATAAATCACCAAATTGAGTTTGACATAAACATAACCTAAAATCTAAATATTTAGTTATGTATATTATAGGAATTTATAGGTTTCATGTGTATAATAAATAATAACATAATTATTAACATATTTTAGGACTAAGCAATTTAAAATGTAATTATTATTTGTTAAGAAAGTGAAGAAAATTTGTTAAAAGATATTTTTGGGGCCTAAAAATTGGTTGAGCAGGTAGAAGGAACGATCTCAGTGTAATAAAAAAGAATTCAAAACCCTCCTTTTCTTGAAACATTTTTCTTAAAAATTTAATTAATAATTACATCGATATGATGAAAATTTTATGATAGAATATTATGTACATTAAATAGTAAGTACCCTAAGTACATATTTTATATCTTTAATTAATGTAACAACTTCATTAAAGGGCGTGAACTCACAAATTATGTTAAAAATTAATAACTATATTTTGGTACACATTTTTAATAATTACTATGTATATATGTATTAATTTAATTTTAAAGAATATAATGTTTAATGAACAACCTACATAAAGTTGATATTTAAAGCAATATTCAACGTCAATTTCACACAAAAGTACATATATTCTAATTTATTTGATGCATCTACGATAATTTATAATTAAAGTCAACTATCTACAATAATTGCATTTCAAAGCTGCATAAAATACGCGCGAAACACTTCAAACTCTTTAAAATTTACGATTCGCGCAAGCGCCTTCGCGATATGGGGGCACGACAAAGACAAAACATATATCATTCCGTCTGCTTTTGATGGAAACGCTCGCCACTCATTGCTTAGATAGGG